AGATCACGGTGAACTATACCATTCAGTCAAATGTATCACAGTGCTAATAACCCAAACAAAATAGAGAGTGAAACTCAGTTTCCATAAAAATCGTGAACCCTGTTTGAAACACAGTTACATTAACAGAAATGGCTCCATCAGTTTTCAGTCTAATAATAGGTCCAATCATAAATCTTACTTAGGATAGATTTTCTTTAAAAAATGTTAATGTCCGCCTCAGCTAAACTGTGGTTAACCAGTCGGTCACGTGGAACGCGAAAACCAATTTGGGTAAGTACTTATCCGAGTCAAGTTTGAAAGGAATACAACTATAGTTTTTTATGTCGCAGATATGTCTGAATGCAATGACAGTCTTTTCAACTTGAATTTAAGCTAACACAAGGCGACATTTCCCCAAGAAAAATCTATTCTTCCAGTTAAATGCTAATGAATGTTTGGTGAAACTCCACGGCTAGGTCAGCTTAAACTTCACCTAGGGGCCTACTTGGCTTGTGACTGTGATAGTTCACCAGTGCATCAACTAGGCGTATCCATTTTAAAAGCTACTGGTTTTGCCAGCATTCACCAAGTTTCTTATGTTGCAAATATATATATATATATATATATATATATATATATACGTATATATATATATATATATATTCTTTCACATACTGATAGACCTTGATTTATTTATATACAAAAGGGAGTGTCCTATATCTGTTGTTGAATATAAACGAACGCCATGTTGAAGCCACTTGAGAAAGGTTTTTTCTTGATAAATAAACAACAAATCATGTTTTCTTTTGAAAAAGCGTGTGTTTGAGAAAACTGACCTTTATAATTCAGGCCGAAGTTCGTTTGTCTGGGAAACAGTATAGGTTTTTTCGTAGACCCCAAGCATTTCAAGGAATCAGCACGAAAGTGTACAGATTAAGCACAAATCTCGGTGTTAAAAAATGGACTTGTGTACAAATCAGGGAGTATTCGCCCTACTTAGAAGATTATCTCTAGACCACTGCTCCACCATGACCAATGCGTCACTCAAAGTAGCATGTTACCGAAAATCGATAAGTTATTCGCAACCAATGCGGTAACTTTCTTTTGTAAGACTACGTTCTAGGAAGTGACGATCTGGCCTCTATTTGTTGGTCAGCTGAGTTCGAGATAGCTCGGTGGTTAGGGAGTGAACTCACTGGTCAGGAAGCTTCCAGCTCGAACCCAATCGCGGTATCTCGACTGCACCTGTCTAGACTTGGGCTAACGGGGGGTACCTCAGCGATTGTGCCTCGTTTGGGTAACATAGCCGGGAAGCGAAAAAGTGTTACAGCTGTATGCTCAGTATTTTATTGTTTGCTTGAACTCCTCGTGGCATTCTTCAGTTTTCTAACTACACTTCCTCTCTTGATAAGCAATTTTATAGAACAGCTCAGTAAGTGAGATAGGCACACCAGATTTCAAAATCGTGTTTGAAACTCGTAAGGTGAAAGGTCTCTCCCCACAAGTGATGAAGTAGATGAGACCAATAATTTATGGGTCGTTTTAGCTAATATTTCCGGAAAGAAAGACGTTTTTAAGGTCTTTGCATAGGTGTGCCCTCAGTACATCTACGACTCTGACGAAACGGTGCAATATTTAACCGTTGAAGTGCTACGAGTATCAAATCAGCAGTAAGCGCAAACATTTCCGCAAGAGAAATTTGACATTTTATTTAATTCAATATCGGTTCCATTTTCTATGAAGTTCCAGTCATCAGCTGTGGAAATGTCAGCTAAACAGAAGTGATTTGTTCCCGGGCAGGTCAGATCCTGATCTGTCAGTTTTCACTATATGGGGTTATCCACCACTGATTAGGTTTTCAGGTCAGCGGAGAAAAGAACGATACAAAGGCTGTGGATTTCTTTTTATGTCTTCACCCACCTAAATTCAGGACCATAGTAGGTTTGACCACGGCCATTCGACGATTAATTCTTTTTATCAACTTAGCTGTCCAGTGATGAGCCAACCTGACAAAACGTTAAAAATCGCACCAACGATTGATATCATGTTTACCTTTCTCTCTCTCTCTCTCGGAGTATTTCAACTGCCAAACCCACTCTTGAGTTGTTGAGTAGAAGATGCTGCGGTCTTGCACTAGCATTAGACGTGCTGTGATAGAGAAATAAGAACTTCGGTATGACTTCGCTCATCGTTTCTAACTTCTTGGCATTTTAAACAAACTACTTTAAAGTCAGCCCTCGTAGTTCATTGGTATGGAGTTTTTGGACGGAATACAAATACTTTGTAAGGTTTTAAGTAGCATAAACTCGCCATCCTTTTAGACAGGTTTGCAGTTAGGTGGGTTCAAAGAAATTTATCCACGTCCACTAACGCTTATGAATGATATCCTGATACAAAAGTTTCAAATAGATCATGTAGTCTAACTGACCACAAGAGAACTGAGTATTGTTCATCGAGGATCTGACATATGCAGAATGACTGACATTTCTGAATTCCTCAGTATGACCGGATTTCACCTTCCTTACTTCGGTTCGGCCCCTTGAATGCTGAGTGGATTTTTTCAAGGTCATGGCTCGTAGCTAGTAGACTTTTAGGGAAACAATCACTCTGTTGTACTTTCGACAACAGCTCCAAATTTCCGGACGGGTATGCCCAAGTTTTTGTGCGAGACATGAAAAATTGAATTTATTTCCTCCCAGCTACCGACGACAATCATGTGATAGACCAAATTTCTTCAAAAGCATGGGAAACTCCGATAAATTCTGCCACTTTTAAAGACAGTACTGTCCAAATTAAGACAGAATTCAATAAACGCATTTTGAATGTGTTTGATAGGTCCGCATGAATCATTTGACGAAGAAAATGTCGTTCATTTCTCTTCATATACTACTGACCACCGATTTTGACAGTCCGCATTAGGACATAGCAAGTTCAACTTTACTATTTTGGAACACATATGAAGGCATGTGGGTGTGTTCAGCATTGCAGAAACAGCAGATAAATTCACAAGATTCAAGAGCAATCTATCCAGGTTTAATATACTCATTGGCGAGGAGAAGAGGCTAAATCCGGATCCCACCTGAATAACATGAAGGGAAGATTCACTTGCAATTCAGGAGAGTCTGTGGTTGATACCACGTCAGTCTGCGAATAATTATATGTCGCTTAGATAGATTGTGACGCTGTTTCAATCAGAGCATATTTTGGGATGTTCACATTGCACAATAATGATAGTTCGTTTTAGAGAAGGAGCTGGACCTTCAGCAAATGCTTCGCTACAATAGACTGATTCCCATATGATGTCATCTTTGAAACAACTAATCGGTAAGTAGTCCAAACAACAGTATCGCTGAAAAGATGCCTGCATTCCACGACGCTTAACTATCTGTTTCAATCCAATTATCATTGAGGCATCAGCTATGTTATAAACTAAGTAACTAATGTACATCATTCACTGAAAACACTTCTACGTCCGACTGAGTGAAGTCATGGAGTACTCATATGTGTATGCCCAAAAATGGTCCATTCGTCGTGTTGAGTAGCAGAGGATATGAAATGCGGCATGTGCGAAATGACACAACTGGTCGATGGACTCGATCCACCAACATCCTTCTCCCGCACACGCACACTCTGCCAAATACCCCAGCTAACATCCGTACTTTTGCGCACATTTGGTCAGGACATTTGGTCAAGCTATAAAATAAGGACTCCTGTTTCATGATTATTGTCCCAATAAGATTCCAACAAACGAGTACCGCTTCCGCAAGGTGTGCTTGCCTGACGAACGCTTTTACGATCGCGTGCTTCCTTAATTATCGTTGAAAAGGTGAAATAAAAGATGCAGTCGATACGTTAATGTCCACTTGACGATCCTAGGTTTGAGGAGAACAGTGCGTCAGTAGGTTTCCGTAGCCGGCTGCAACAAAATTCCTGCCAAATTCAAAGATAGGTCTGCACAAAATCGTCCCCTCCTCTTACTCCGACTAAGAATGATCTCATCACCACCATCAAAAATCATCGATTAAGGACAATATTCCCCCTCCCAAGCTTCCTTCTTGCTAATATATTGGAAAACAAAGAGGAAATGACCCTAGAGATAGTTTCCAATCCTAATTAGAAACCCTTCAATTGTTCTTTTGAACACATTTTCCGATCAGAAGGAACCGACAATTTGTTACAGTCCGTCACCTGAATATTTCATCAAAATCGAATTCATATGCAAAGGAGAGCATTTGTCGCAAAAAGTAAACACTTCCTCACATCACACAGAGGTCTCTAACATTGTCGCTATGTTGTTGCTATGGCCTTAGTGACACATCGAGAACAACGCGGGCGCAGTACCAGTCGCACATTTATCTCCTCAGAATCCAAGCCCACATGAAGCCCGTTGTGAACCGAAGGTCCCAAAACCAACTTCTTCCACTAACAAACTCGCGGCAACCTAACAATCGAATTTTCATCAAGAGTGCGGTGGTCATCGGTGCATATTCATTCGGGTGACTTGAATGACCGAATGGTAGGTCGCTGTGCAAACCAAATAACTGGATCATACGCTCGATGTGAAACCACCAACTTGAGCACGAATTGGTACATGGATTAGTCAACATGATAAATGTCAACATTTTCGGATGTCCTTAATTTCAGTTGGTACACTAGCTTCTGCGTTCAATAACTCACACTACACACTCCCCACACCAGGCAAGAAGTAGTGCGGTCAGCACCTAATGCAATTCAAGCTCCCATCGCAAAACATCAACAAAAATAAGAAACTCTGATTACTCGCCATGTTTAGGGCTTAACCCCAGCTTCAGAACCACAGTATTTTGGAAATATGGGGGAGTAGGAGTCGGAAGGAAAGCGTGTCCGCAATCACTTGTCCGGACGCTTGTTGTCTAGACCGTGTGGGGTGCACAGTCATATCAGATATATAGGGCAGCGTTGATGACAGAGAATGTTGGACGGCATGACACTTGTCCGATCAGGAGGGATTTGGAGTATCCCTCTGAAATTCAGAGAGAAAAATGTTTATCCGTCAAAAGTGGGTACACTCAAAATATGAACACGCGTTTCAAGCATCGTTTTTTATAGATACGAGATGGCTCAAGTGGTTAGAGTGCGAATTTACTGGTCGGAAGATCCGTGGTTCGAACCCGACCTCCGCCTCTCCTCTCGACTTGACTAGGTTTGAGCAACGTGTCAATATCTCAGCCCTCGTGTTTCCTTCAGGTGGTATGGCAGTTAGGCATCGAAAGGGTAGGGTATCTGAATGATTACCATTTTATTATTACCATTTTACGGATACTTATTCTGAACGATTGTAGTTGCAAAAGTGCAAAAGTGATCTGTTGTGGTTCAAAGGACTTCATATCTTCTACATCGTACTCATGACTGGAGACCACAGATGAATCCACCATTAGGTGGTTCGGTGCTGGGCCCAAGTGGCACATTTTAGGCATATCGTTGTACAAACACATCGGAATATGTCTGAGTTTTAGTCAAAACTCTATTGACACAAACGAATGAAGTTTGTACTCTATCCTGAAAGACCATTTTGGCTAAAGCTTTCCAAACTGCCCAGTCAAAACTACGAACGAATTGCAGTCACATGTGGACGGCTTGTTTCACATCATATGGAACTGGTCACAGAAACAGCGGCAGAGTGAGCCGCCATTTCCGAGGACTGATGGTCTGCTGTCGATCATCATGATGATGATGATGATTGCGGTGGTGTTCGAGCAGTCGTGTCGGCTTCGTCGTTCTGCGACGGGGCTCGCGAGCTAAGCTCACTTTTCGAATTCGCATCAGTCGTCAGACAGAATGTGTGCGACAACACTCACCTGGAACGAACACGTGACATTCACGGTTGAAGAATATTGTGATCGACACGTTCGCTGAACTGCGACTAGATCCCTCGTTAACATCAACTGAATTTTCGGTCGACTGAATATCGTTACTTAGATTGGCCGTTTTCGCAAGCCACACCAGAAGAGGGCTCGGACCGTTGGATCATTTATGATGGAGGTGTTTCCATCAACAAAACACCCTCAAATATTGAGTAAAACCGATCTCAACAAAGTACATGGACTCGCCAGAAAGAATATCTGGTCAACAAGTGGCTAATAAAATCCCTCTTACGCAAGATGCCATAAGGCTTCAATTTCGACAGTGATGGAGATAGTTATTCAAACACAATGACCTTATCGGTGTTTCACAAACTCATATGCTCTTTCGTTCCGGCATATTCGAAAATCACTTAGAATGTTTCTTCCAAGTGAACAAAACTGACTGGTGTTCCATTCGATACCTGTAAATGTAGCACTGTGATTCGGGGGAATTTGTGGCAGTGAAATTAATCCATGTATTAAAAATCCGCAAGTGCAGAGCAATTAAAATGCGGTCGATATTCTATTTATTAAAAGACACGCGTGTTGTGCAGACCCTACACTGATCCAAAAAACCAGCTAAGTTTAGAAGACCAGGAGTAAAACCACACCGCAGCTGTCGGGTAACTGAAGCAGAACAACTGTGGTCCAGAAATAACGCAAACTTTTCATCGACCAAATTACCAGGGATATCGCACACTGTAGGTGATACCCATTGACAGATTGGCTATTTATGACTGGGCAAGTTAGACAATGTTCAAACGCGTCGGTACGGAGGCGGTCACCTTGTCATGCTGATTTTCGCATCAGCCCATGCGGTGTACACGTGCAGCGTGTTCGGTGTCATTTTAGGTCTGCGCTTGCGGTGACCACTGCCCACCACACCACCGCCGCTGCTCTGTTTGAATGTGCCTGGAACAAACGTGCTGCGCGTTATGCGTTCGAATTCGAAACCTATCTTGAAACACTCACTTGTGTTACCTAAACGAGAAATTCCGGGGCAACACTTCGCTGTTAGTTACGCTTTCATCTAGTCTAAGGCCATATGTTATTTCAGACTCAGGTGTATTGCCGGCCAAACATCTCATCCGTTCGAATGCTGGCATGAAGCAAATTCGTGAATATCAATAGAATAGCGCCCTCTGAGGTCTAGGACCCGGGAAAATTCTCCGAGCCAGCCAACACCCATAAATATACACATGAGATTTATTTGCATGAATGTGATACGCTGGCAGTATTTTCTCGATTGTTCTAAAAAGTGCTTCGTGAGGCGATTGGTTACAACAAATTTTGTCACCGTTTGAACATTTGACCCGAGATCTAACTGCATTCCAATACACGCATTCCGCACTCACACGTACCAGGTCATGATACAGGGCTATGTGTTTCGGGTGTCTCCGATGGGAAAACCATTCACTCTCCAGTTGAAAAATGGATTGTGAACAAACACAAACTACATTGTTATTGTTGCGTTGACTCCTACCTTGAAACAGGGTTCAAGTTATTTGCCTTATCTAGTTTATTTGGTCAGAAACAGGATAAGAAAATCAGGTGGCAACATTAAACGAGGCCAAACCAAGGCTCGGATTAAATTCTAGTTCGGGTTCACGCATATTACCACTTTATTAGCGATAATATGATGAAAACCAATGCGCTTAGGTCTGAGTTGATCGCTCAGTGATTGCTTATGCATATCATCCTCACAAGCCGAACACCACTGTCTAATACGAAAATGAATCGGGCTGTTCTGGTCTGGTTTCCACATGATAAATGGGCAAATCTCTGATGAAGTGTGATGAAAATCGCTAAGTAAACTTAGTGCCCTTCCAGAATTGAAATTTTATTAAATGCAGTTCCAAATGATTGAAGAAACGACAGGAGATTCCTGGGTAGAACATTTGTCTAGAAATCAAACTTCTCTCACTGATAAGCATGGATGAATGCCATATTCCATAGAAATCGAATCGAGGAGACCAAATGGAGGGCGAATATTTAATTTAGTTTTGGCTTCATAGTGGAGCTGGATACACGTGACCAACACGATACTCGCTACTTCAAATTTCGTTCGCACACGTGAGGTCACTCTCAGGAGTGATTGAATGAAAACACTAGCATAGATGCTATCGGGATTTTAAGATGCTGATAAGATTTGGGCACGGTGGCGCGTGTTAGGCAAATCGCTACATATCTTCATCGAATCATTTTCGCCCGACCTCTTGTGCTGGATAGCAACATCATCCCTAATCTCAGTGTCGTCCACCCAAGGGTTCTGATAGCTACACTGAAAATAATATTTGACACACCCAAGTTCCGACCTCACATCAAATGAACAGTGAATGTTGCTCTCACCAAGGTCAACAATTCTCCTCGATTTGTCCTTCAATATGTCTTAGAGATCCACTGATTACCTGATATCTGACCAAAAGAGAGCAAGCATTCGACTCTCAAGTTTAGATGGAACTTGAACGAGTAACCGGGAGCCTCCTCATAATCATAAAATGTCGGTCAAGCAATCGGGCGAGCAAACACTTGACGAGACTAAATCGGGCCTGGTTTCATGGTACGAGTGCTTACAAAGTGAAAATATGCGTCCCAGGGGAGTCACCTAACGGAGACCATTGAAAGAAACAGTTCGCGTGCTTTTCCCCTTCAACAGTGGAGCTCATTGAGAGGAAACACGGGTTCTCAGTAAGTTGGGAAGGCAAAGTCCAACAATAGGGTACCTAAAATTTGATGAGTAAACGATCGGATCATGGAACCAGCGAGAGAAAATACGGCTAGGGCACAAAACAATGTTTGTATGATGCACCGGTCTACAAAACCAGTGGGCTAAAAAGTATAACAAACAATCGCTTGCATGATGGATAATGACCAGTTTTCAGTATCTTTGTTATCCTCAACTACATGGCAAACAATCAGTGTAAATTTCAATGATTTGTCCGGTGACCAAGAGATGAGCAAGAACAAAACATCCAGTTTACCCTGTTTCACATCCACAATAACGAAACCACATGTTCAGTTATTAACACTTGACAGTCGTCCCGTTTTCCGACCAATGTGGCTGTCCCTATAGAGGTAGAAAAATCCAAATGCATACATGAAATAGTTGCATGACGGGCTTAACACCCTGGTTCCTCTCAGATTACAGAATGTCTGATGAAGATCATGCTCAGACGCGCCGCGTGGTATCCTCTACTGAAAGTGACTTCCAGAATGAAACATGACCACGCTCATCCATTTTGAACGAAATGTGGACAGAAGCAAACTGATTTCGACGGCCCAGTTGATGTGACCTTTGTTTCAAACCACTTTTGATTGGTTAGGCGTTTTGATCTCATTTTTTCATCTCGCATGCGTCCGAACCAGCAGACAATAAGTCGACAAAATAGGATCAAATCCAGCTGATCATAGAGACATTGCGAATAATAGTGTAGTCTCAAACATGCTCACATGCACTTCCTGGGTGATATATGTAGTGTTGCGTGTTTCTTTAACACCCAGGGGCGAGATGGCCCAAGTGGTTAGAGCGCGAATTTAATGACCGGAAGGTTTGTGGTTCGAATCCGACCTCCGCCACTCGACTTCCCCTGTCTAGGCTTGGGCAACCTGGCAGTATCCCAGCCCTCGTGCTCCCTTCAGGTGGCATGGCAGCTAGGCACCGGAAGGGTGCTACAGCTGAACGCTCTTCTCTCTCTTTAACACCCGTGTCGATGGCCAATTTCATAGACGCCAAAACTGTAAGTTGACATGGAACGTCAGCTAATTAATTCCAATTCAGGCAACTGTTGCATTCCACGTGTGTTGGGAAAAACATCGACATCTATGTGAAAAAGGCAAACAGGTAAAATTATTTTGATCATAAATAAGTTACCATAAAAAATGTAATATAGACTAGTTCTAATAAAACTAATAACATATAGAAATATAGAATATAATGTTGTCTGCCCTATATATAGAATATAGGATGACAATGTGATTATAGTATATCATAAATAGCTTAAAACCAAGCCAGTTCTTACATAATAATCGCAACGCCACCAAATGTCAGAACTAGGAAGGGAAATTTTGACGCCTTGATCGTGTATGCAAATATATTCCGAAGTTTACGCCACACCGCGTATGATAAGCAGCCCCGAAAAAGTCAACGACTGTTCGGAGTTCCACGAAATTTCACAATACGCGAATAGAGGCCCTAGGGAAGCTCAAGTGTCTTATGTATTCATGCCCATGTTTCACCGTCCCCCGAAACACGGTTCAAACCGATGTGCCGTATCGCAGTGAATGCGTACAACGTATCACCCTGTTTTGTCTGTAACCCTAGTATCGTCTGCTTGCATCCATGACCGTTTGTGGGTGCTTCTTTGTGACAATCATTTAGCTGCACACCGTTGATTCTAGTCCTACCCGGTATGGACTTGTACTGCAAGTCACGAGTGGCTGTCGGCACAGGCTTGATAAGGTTTCAAGGTTGTCTGTTACACTTTTGTTCGCACAAAACAACTTTTCACAAATCCCTCACCGATGTGATTGCTAGGTGCAAGAGCCGGCGGACCGCTCATATTATGCAGGTGTCATGATTGTCATGGAGATGTAATCTGCCAAACTTGGCCTCCGTAAAGCTTAGCTGAGCATTCATTCCGATGTTTGAAAAACAGCGACGTTAGTAGGAAAGTGGAGGTTCTGGTCAAAAATCGTCAGAAGAGTGCACTTGTATGAAACAGCATTGTGCACACATGCACGTTGCATAGGGGAGTGTCCATCGCGTCATATCGCCTCCAAGATGACAGAAACATGCCTTTATTACGACAAATAGAATGCCTTTTGAGACGCATGCCTCCAAAAGGGGAACAGATTTATCACCCAGTTTGGAAACCCACTTAAGTAAGCACGTTACTCCATACTCGATTCTAACTAACAAGCTTGGACAAACAAAACGAATTAGCACTAAAAAACGATTAAATTGGACACCACCACTGCGGGTGCCGTTTGCACAATGCGAGGATAAACTTGAAAGTAGGGCTCCACCACTCTCATTGTTGCTAACAGGAATTATCCAGCGCATGAAATTGACACTGAAACACATCTATGTATCCACAGACATGTGGTAGGGTTAGCTCGAGGTCATGCTGTGTGATGATGAATCGCCACACTTTGTGTAAACGTATCAAGGTGAAATCGGCACACTGAACTGTGAACACCGCCCGAATCAGCACCACAAGATGTTGCGTTAGAAAGCACAAATATTTTCAAGATCGTTGCTAGTACAATTCTAGCGGAACAACACACCAACCAAGAGCGTGTGTCGAGTTCCATCGACGTTAAAGCAAAAGTAGTGTCCACATAGTAAAATATAGTATGGTACAGTACAGTACAGTATAGTATAGTATAGTATGGTGTTCGCTGTATAGTGTAGTATAGTATAATATAGTATAGTATTGAATAGTGTAGTACAGTATAGTATCGTACAGCACAGTATAGTGTAGTATAGTTTAGTATGGTATAGTATAGTACAGTATAGTATAGTATGGTATATAATATTGTATTATATTATATTATAGTGTAGTATAGTATAGTATAGTATAGTATAGTATAGTATAGTATAGTATAGTATAGTATAGTATAGTATAGTATAGTATAGTAATGGTGCTCGCCCCTTAGGTATTATCTCCGTGTCTTCAATGAGCAACGGCTACCCATTGTGAAAAAGGCAGTCTGATGGAACAAGATGACACGAAATCAGACGAATCACAGAAGTTCAGCAACGCTTTCGTGGTATTACAAATCAGTCAACAGAAAGCGTTTCCGCATAAAAAGCATTCAATAGCAAATGCGTAGATACATGTCGTGAGATGTTTTGTAGAAATTCGTACTGGGCCCATTATACATGTTAATTTCAAGAAGTGGATGATCCGAATTTCGACCTTCCAGCATAACAGGATGGGTAGGTTACAGAACCTGTTCATTCCCATCTCGATCACATCTAACAACGGAGATTATTTGCGGAACGAACCAAAACCATTTGCTAAAGAACTGCATGATCGAAAGCGCGACAAAAATTAAACGAAAGAGACTCGTTCCCACAGGTTTGGGTGGGACAACAATCTCAAAATCTATCACATTTTCTGTATATTCTAAATAAAACCGACCAAGACCAATATCTGGTCGGTTTTCATGTACAATCAATGACCTTTTCTCTCCATGACCTTGAAAGTCACAAATCACATGCATCTTTGAATGGATGGTGCCCGTTCTTTGACAGCAGACTGGACACCAAGGTTTATTACTTTGCACCTAACCTATGCGCATGCTATCCTGACAATACACACTCCGCGTCAATTTTTTCATCATTTATCGAACTGACTTCCGTTTGTTTTTGATTGCTTACCGGCTCTTATCTGAATCGCCGGATCTCAGGTGCTGCGCCACATATCTATAGACTGCCCGGAAAATAAATGAACCAGGCATGGGAGTGAAGTCGTGAGAATCCACTTGAAAGATTCATGGGGCTTTGAGGTCTTAACTACTGAATTATTTACCTCGTAATTCGCTCAGGATGGGGAACTTGATCTAAGCTTGTTTACTTGCTTATTGTAGACCTTTGAAAATCCGATGGTATCAATCCGTGGATAATTTAGTCACGCCGATGAAACGTCCCGATCACCATGGTGGATAGAAAGACTAGCTGCACGATGCATTTATCATTTCTCAAAATGTCTGGAAAATACCAAAGGCTGGTTTAAGTGATGAGCAACGCAAGGTCTGTTATACACGAGCTTCGTAATTACAAGAGGATAAGCCAAACCATAGTAAGGACTTAATATCTGCAAGGAAATCAGTCGCAAAACAAACGCTAACCAATTGCTCGTACTGCTCATATCTGTATTATTCGATGCCGTGGCGCACGCCCAAACAAAATTCGGCTAAGCTGGAGAAAGAGTCATTCTTCTTGGGATTTTCAATCCGCGTGTATCGAGTCTAACAACACAAATGCTCATTAAACTGTAACACCCGCTCAGCGGATAGCTGCCACGCCACCCGAAGGAAGCACAGGGGCTGAGATACTACCAGGTCACTCTAATCGATACGGTAGCAGTTCAAATGTTGTGGTTGAGCTTGGATCACAAACCTTCCGGTTAGCAAGTTCGTCGCCTGACCACTAGGCTATCTCGAGCCCACTTGTATTAGGTAGGTGCGTACTGGTCCAAGGAAATAAGATATTTCAAACCCATGTACTGAAGAGTATTTATATTGATGTGGCACAGTGTAATATTCTGTGGTAGCTTTCGAGCGAAACATACTTGTAAAACACGAGAACAGTGGTTTCACAATCAACTCTGAGTGAGACTCGACATCAGTACCAGCGAGTTACATGTATTGGAATCCAATACGGACCCGTATTGTCATATGCAAGCAATCATAAAATCACGAAGCAGTACCAATCAGTGCTTGCTGGTCGGTTCTCCGAGCTTACTAAATGGGTCATACTGTTCGCATAACTCTGCGATCGAGCTGTAGTTGGGCAATTGCAGGGATCAACGACAAATCATATTAGAGGTCACTTCGAACCAACATGCCATCGACTGATTGTAATAATGCGAGTTTACTTTACTGGTAGTTTACCACCTGCCTATTAATTGTCATCTAAATGTCATGGTATCGAGCTTCACCAAGAGGGTATTGCGGCTGTGCTTTATTTTGGATGAGTGTGGCATTCTAGTGTGTATAGAAAGAATTGTAAACAGTGCCACGATCTAAAAGAACTACTGTCAGTGCACCCTCATACCATTTTGTGCAGGCTGGCTGGTGTCTTTCAGTAGGAGGCTGCAAGTTTGCCATTGATCTCATCCCTTGTGGTTTGCATCACCATCAACAATTTGCACTTATCGCTATATTTGGCCACGCGGTCCATCTACATTGTCCCGCGTTTTAGTGGGTCGAGCAATGTTGAGTGTTGGCAAATCCACATCACATGCGCACAAACCATTAATATCTCGCAAATAAATGTTACTTTGAGACGCGGGAACGGATGAAGTTTCAGTCACCTCTATAATGTGAAAGACGTTCACATATTGTAAAGGTTCGTGCGACGGAACCGATGATGATGATGTGTTCAAGTCAAGCGACAAAAGCAGCTGCTCTAATCGAAATAGCTGTCATATTTTTGGATTTCGCGTTCCAAACTAATTGAGGGCCACTTTTTCTCTCAAGGCGCTCAACTGGTGAGGGGGAACAGCACACGAACTGTTCGGTTTATTATTATCTGTTAAGTGACTTCCCTGGGGACGCCTATTTTCACTTCGTACGCACTTGATCTCAGCCTTGAAACGGCTTCGTTCAATGCTGCAATCAGATTTTATAAACTTGTTTCCTACCATACCTCCCGGATAAGGCATGCAAAAATGTGGATAACTGGAATCCTGATTAAATTTAAGGGTCAAATCAAGAATAAAAATGTATTATTCATTCACAATCCATTTCTCAACTGGAGAGTGAATGGTTTTCCCATCGGAGACACCCGAAACACATAGCCCTGTATCATGACCTGGTACGTGTGAGTGCGGAATGCGTGTATTGGAATGCAGTTAGATCTCGGGTCAAATGTTCAAACGGTGACGAAATTTGTTGTAACCAACCGCCTCACGAGGCACTTCTTAGGACAATCGAGAGAACACTGCCAGCGTATCACATTCATGCAAATAAATCTCATGTGTATATTTATGGGTGTTGGCTGGCTCGGAGAATTTTCCCGGGTCCTAGACCTCAGAGGGCGCTATTCTATTGATATTCACGAATTTGCTTCATGCCAGCATTCGAACGGATGAGATGTTTGGCCGGCAATACACCTGAGTCTGAAATAACATATGGCCTTAGACTAGATGAAAGCGTAACTAACAGCGAAGTGTTGCCCCGGAATTTCTCGTTTAGGTAACACAAGTGAGTGTTTCAAGATAGGTTTCGAATTCGAACGCATAACGCGCAGCACGTTTGTTCCAGGCACATTCAAACAGAGCAGCGGCGGTGGTGTGGTGGGCAGTGGTCACCGCAAGCGCAGACCTAAAATGACACCGAACACGCTGCACGTGTACACCGCATGGGCTGATGCGAAAATCAGCATGACAAGGTGACCGCCTCCGTACCGACGCGTTTGAACATTGTCTAACTTGCCCAGTCATAAATAGCCAATCTGTCAATGGGTATCACCTACAGTGTGCGATATCCCTGGTAATTTGGTCGATGAAAAGTTTGCGTTATTTCTGGACCACAGTTGTTCTGCTTCAGTTACCCGACAGCTGCGGTGTGGTTTTACTCCTGGTCTTCTAAACTTAGCTGGTTTTTTGGATCAGTGTAGGGTCTGCACAACACGCGTGTCTTTTAATAAATAGAATATCGACCGCATTTTAATTGCTCTGCACTTGCGGATTTTTAATACATGGATTAATTTCACTGCCACAAATTCCCCCGAATCACAGTGCTACATTTACAGGTATCGAATGGAACACCAGTCAGTTTTGTTCACTTGGAAGAAACATTCTAAGTGATTTTCGAATATGCCGGAACGAAAGAGCATATGAGTTTGTGAAACACCGATAAGGTCATTGTGTTTGAATAACTATCTCCATCACTGTCGAAATTGAAGCCTTATGGCATCTTGCGTAAGAGGGATTTTATTAGCCACTTGTTGACCAGATATTCTTTCTGGCGAGTCCATGTACTTTGTTGAGATCGGTTTTACTCAATATTTGAGGGTGTTTTGTTGATGGAAACACCTCCATCATAAATGATCCAACGGTCCGAGCCCTCTTCTGGTGTGGCTTGCGAAAACGGCCAATCTAAGTAACGATATTCAGTCGACCGAAAATTCAGTTGATGTTAACGAGGGATCTAGTCGCAGTTCAGCGAACGTGTCGATCACAATATTCTTCAACCGTGAATGTCACGTGTTCGTTTCAGGTGAGTGTTGTCGCACACATTCTGTCTGACGACTGATGCGAATTCGAAAAGTGAGCTTAGCTCGCGAGCCCCGTCGCAGAACGACGAAGCCGACACGACTGCTCGAACACCACCGCAATCATCACCATCATGATGATCGACAGCAGACCATCAGTCCTCGGAAATGGCGGCTCACTCTGCCGCTGTTTCTGTGACCAGTTCCATATGATGTGAAACAAGCCGTCCACATGTGACTGCAATTCGTTCGTAGTTTTGACTGGGCAGTTTGGAAAGCTTTAGCCAAAATGGTCTTTCAGGATAGAGTACAAACTTCATTCGTTTGTGTCAATAGAGTTTTGACTAAAACTCAGACATATTCCGATGTGTTTGTACAACGATATGCCTAAAATGTGCCACTTGGGCCCAGCACCGAACCACCTAATGGTGGATTCATCTGTGGTCTCCAGTCATGAGTACGATGTAGAAGATATGAAGTCCTTTGAACCACAACAGATCACTTTTGCACTTTTGCAACTACAATCGTTCGGAATAAGTATCCGCAAAATGGTAATAATAAAATGGTAATCATTCAGCCGTAATACCCTTTCGATGCCTAACTGCCATACCACCTGAAGGAAACACGAGGGCTGAGATATTGACACGTTGCTCAAACCTAGTCAGGGTAAGTCGAGAGGCGGAGGTCGGGTTCGAACCACGGATCTTCCGACCAGTAAATTCGCACTCTAACCACTTGAGCCATCTCGTATCTATAAAAAGCGATGCTTGAAACGCGTGTTCATATTTTGAGTGTACCCACTTTTGACGGATAAACATTTTTCTCTCTGAATTTCAGAGGGATACTCCAAATCCCTCCTGATCGGACAAGTGTCATGCCGTCCAACATTCTCTGTCATCAACGCTGCCCTATATATCTGATATGACTGTGCACCCCACACGGTCTAGACAACAAGCGTCCGGACAAGTGATTGCGGACACGCTTTCCTTCCGACTCCTACTCCCCCATATTTCCAAAATACTGTGGTTCTGAAGCTGGGGTTAAGCCCTAAACATGGCGAGTAATCAGAGTTTCTTATTTTTGTTGATGTTTTGCGATGGGAGCTTGAATTGCATTAGGTGCTGACCGCACTACTTCTTGCCTGGTGTGGGGAGTGTGTAGTGTGAGTTATTGAACGCAGAAGCTAGTGTACCAACTGAAATTAAGGACATCCGAAAATGTTGACATTTATCATGTTGACTAATCCATGTACCAATTCGTGCTCAAGTTGGTGGTTTCACATCGAGCGTATGATCCAGTTATTTGGTTTGCACAGCGACCTACCATTCGGTCATTCAAGTCACCCGAATGAATATGCACCGATGACCACCGCACTCTTGATGAAAATTCGATTGCTAGGTTGCCGCGAGTTTGTTAGTGGAAGAAGTTGGTTTTGGGACCTTCGGTTCACAACGGGCTTCATGTGGGCTTGGATTCTGAGGAGATAAATGTGCGACTGGTACTGCGCCCGCGTTGTTCTCGATGTGTCACTAAGGCCATAGCAACAACATAGCGACAATGTTAGAGACCTCTGTGTGATGTGAGGAAGTGTTTACTTTTTGCGACAAATGTTCTCATTCGCAAATCAATTTGTTTTCGATGAAAGATTCAACTGAACCCAGCTCGATTTCTGGTTTACTTTGGTCCGTTTACTGTTTAATTTCCTCATGCAACGGGCTGCAAAATACTGTTTGTCCTTAGGACTCACATACGGCCGATTTTTCTCTCTAGGGTTTTTATCTTTGCTACTCTCTGCTCTATCTCTTTGTTTCCAGCATTGTTTTATTCGGTTTGGTGACCTTGATCTTCAAAAATAAGCAATATTGGTCGAAAAAATAATTCGCACCATACTTTTACTTTCGGGCAGGTAGCCCTACACTGGTGCTGTGTTTGAGCAAACTGACTCTCATTCAACCAGGTAAAAAGTTCACGTCGACATCTTAGCAGCAGTGGTGTTCGAATGAGTTTCTGCAGAAGGAACAGAAAAAAGGTCCTATGGATTGCTGATTCAGAATAAGCAAGGGCGACAGGCCCTGAGTTCGAGGACAAGTGAAATTTATTAAGTTGACCTTGTCGTCTTGGCATAACATCTTATCCGTTAGACGACGAAAGTTTTTCTGCTGGGTTTGATCTCAGTACGTTCCATCCAGTGTGTTTCCATCGTGTGTAAGCGGAAACCTTTGGACCATAAAGTTCGTGGGCTCAGTTAGTCAACTGTGTTCACCACTGTCGATCTGCAAGGCACATCAAATCAAGGACAGCTCCATGCTTCCAAATAGGTGCTTTTCCTGATACCCTATTAGGTATTCCAATAAACAGAAAACTCATGGTCGAGTGAACCCGTTTTCGAACTGAACAGCGGCTACGAACGTTGGTGGTTAACGAGCCCTGTGTAAGTTCCTGGAAGTGAATCGTTTGTGTGACCTAACTTAAGCACTGCGAAAACGCTAATGTGGTCTCGTAACAGTAAGACAGCCGGCTTTCAACCAGACCTTATCTTAGTTAAGATATCTTTTATTTCTAGCCATCAAGCTTGATTTGCGATCACTTTCTACACTATTTTCTCTCAAAATATGAATCCATATTGACCGGAACGTATCCGTATTATGTGGGAAAAATGCGTTACAGTTTTTCGTATCTTTTCGTCAACATTAATCTTGAAGGTCAAAAGAATTGCTGTATGAAAATCTCGGTCTCGGTTTAAGCTTTTCCAAAGCCTGAGGTGAATTTCACTTCTGACCCCATACCACTGGCTAAAAAACTGAGTTCAACAGTTATCACCCTTAAAGGATACAATGACGTGCTTTTATCTCACAAGTGGAAGCTTGCGCAATCGATTCAGCTACTTTTGAACTGACCTTCCTATTCAGCGTCAGCCTAACTCACAACAAAAGCCAACATATTTCACCTCATGATTTCACTGCTGTCGGTAAATTCTGTTGGTAGGATTCTTAGTCAACTCTGAAGGATAAATTAATCACTTTGTAACTCCTGAGGATAATTTCCAAGGTTACATCGTCTGTCGGGCTGGACAAGTGAGAGGAACGGTGTCTGAACTCGCAGCAATATGCACGGTTTTACAACCAAGTCAAAACAATGTTGACGTTAACTAAACCTATGCAGAATTTCACCGGAATTATTGATTAATCGATCGATGTGTCCGGCCAACAAGTAGTAACCGCTAGTAGAGATTTTTGACAAGCCCTCGGGACAACATTTTTCGTCACAGGACATCCAACAACACTAGCGCCACAACCGCTAAGTTTTCAACCCCACGCGAAGGCGGCACGTGTGCGAAATGCCAGTTGCCTCGTCATCGCTCAGGCATGCCTTGGCCATACACCCATGACTTATGCGTCCCTATCACAGCCGAGGGTAGACAGGAGCGAATGGAAACAGTGAGCTGGAATACCGAAATGCGAATTACTGCCTTTGTTATTCACGCGAGTCACGCGTGAAGCGGGATGTGGTGCTGCGCACAAGCTCTTGGCACCAGTGTAAACCCGATGCCGTAAGATCGGTCGGCGAACGCTCTGAATGTCAGAAGCTGCTAGCCAGGAAGTTAGGGGAATCAACCTCACAGGAGTAATTGCAAGGAAAGCGGATTAAAGTTCCTAAAACGTCATGCGGGAGGCTACTCCGGAGATGAACTGAAGAAATCAGGGCTAAATGGTATGACAAATCGAAATCATGATTTCTGTCGCCGTTTAGCAGTAGATTGCAGCTTGCAGTCGAATATTCAGTCCTGAGGAGAACTTTGGAGAAAAGGTAAGAAGAGGACACTTGTATGAACAGAAGAATGAATGGGGGGTGACACGAGGTGAAGACATACGGTTGCACGCAGATCACTGTCTTTTAAAGGGTTCTTTAGAGCATTGAGGGAAGGATGTGGACCCAAAACCCACTACTTAAACATCCATCAGTAGATTCCGAACCCTACAAAACTTACAAAAACCGAAGGTTTTTTTTAAAAAAATGGAAAGCTCATTTCTCCGTACCTGTTATATCTGCTGATTCGTCAATCTGTGGTATCTGCTGCTGACCCGTTCCAGTGCCTAGTGTCGAAGAGAAAAGACACAGAGAAGGGAACACAACAGCTGTATTCCGAACAAGCGAGTGAGGGAGAGAGCAAAAGTTACAACGACCCCACGCTGCTTAAAAGGGACTTTCTGACATTGATCCATGGTTTTCTGATAGGCGTTAGTGATCACCCATCAACATCGATCGTGCCTCTGTGAAAAGCCTGAACGCTGATCACATTCGGTCGTACTTCTGTGGCCGCAAGAACACTCATCAGGTCTTGCTGAATTGATTGAATGGTTGACTGGCCTGGATGCTTGCCGGCTTTCCAGTTGAGTTTTTGGTGGAGCAGTAGGTTCCGGGCGTTCTGAAGTTGCTTTCCGGAATCTGACCTTCCTGAGAGTACCAATGAACTGTCCGTCGAAAATCAAATAGGGTCAACTGAACCAAACAACCCAGCAAATTGAGGGGGACTGCAGGGGCCATCTCACAACTCCACAACAACAATGCCGAAATTACAAGACAGAGGTGCCCCTCGGAAATGATGAGTCAGCAGTCTAAGTGTTCAGACTCGATGGACAGGGGCTGTAACATAAATCTCTGCGTTTCATCTGCTCACCATGGGTAGGTCAGGGTATTCCACATGACAACAGATATGCCATCATTCTGCCTTATTCAGAGGGAAGAAAGTAGACCGAAGGCAGACAATTAACGTGGAATCAGCCCACTTTGTAATATTGGTAAAATCGGTACTCGTATTCAAACAAGTCGTACAAATGTGGGCATTTCAAGTGGATTCGTTCCACAGGAACAGAATGGATTTCGGACTGGATGAGACACCACGGGTTTGATCGTCTCGGTGAGACACACTAGAAAGGTCGCTACTTCAGCTAACGGTTATGTTCTAGTTATTTGCTCCGAAGCGCCTTCGAATAGGTGAACAAACAAGAAGTGTATATCGTTCTTCGGAAACGCAAGTAATCAAACAAGTCTGTCAGCCTCCTAAATTATTTTCAATCTCGGATGTCCCGGTTTGTGGAACCCTGTTAGTGATCTGATTGTAACGCAATTGGGTTGATTATCAGGTGTCAACAACTAACAGATGTCTGTTTTACCAGAATGATGATTACAAAAGTTATGTGCACTTGATAAAAATAAGCGCGATGCAAGAAGTGAATAAGCCGAAAAGTGACTTATTAATTGAGGACATCATCGGTTTTTTTCCAAAGCCGCTGGTTTATGAGCAGCTGAAAAATGGCCTTCACGGCTAAGGAAGATTTGAACAACGATATAGGGACAGACCTCAGGAAGCGCGAAATGCCGCAAACGTGGATGTGGAGCATTCCAAAACTCAGAGGGGCCCGGTGATCTAAATTAAGCAATGTAAATGTATCGGTAAGTGACTCGAAACGAAAACAGCAACATCAGCCCCGGTGAATCTCTGGATCTGCTCAATGTATTAATGTATCTGCGTGAGAAAAAGTGGTCTTGCGCTACTTTGTTCTATCAGTTATGAATGGTTGAATGCTAAGTTAAAGTGAATCATCTTTACTTCTTAACAGACAAAACTATGCCCCATCTACACTTGTACTTGCTGTCCAGGCATGACAACCAAAATCGCTCGCCAGCGAGTCCCCGGTGGATATGACTGGATGATAGTGTGCGGTGTAATGACGGTAGTGAAAGCTGAAGGCTGACACCTACACCCCACTTTTTTTTAAACAACCGCTATCATTTTCGGGACAACTGAGGCCACCAGCAGGACTCAGTGAGTTGGCCTGCCGATCTTATTCCTTCTGGTTTAGACGAGATTCACAAACCCACCCGCAGTGGCATACACATGTGTATGTACACAAACTCCTTTACAAAGTGCTGCCCCACCTGTCAGAACACTGGTGGGATGGTTGGATAATTTTGTCATCCACAACGAGGGAGCAATCTGGATCTATGAGGCCCACATTGGACTCCATACGTTTACTTCAATACTCGCTAGACTTGAAAATCGGGCTTTCATTATGGAAGTATAAAACAGCAGCTGAACCCTAAAACTTGTGCTCGTGTAATTGCACTGGTTTTGTTTCAGTGATTGTTTGATATAATGAAATCCAATAGTGATTCGCACACGATCATGTGTCTGTGTATGCCCGTTCCAGGTAATCAGTTATTCCTAATTACATATCACTGACTGACTGTCCTGGTCTTTTCTTAAGGTTATGATAAGGATTTCATTGAACTGTGGTAGTTTACTTGGGCCTGGAATCGACAACTGAGTCAATCAGAAATTCGTCAGTACCCAAAGGTAGAACACTTTCTTTAGCCTTAGCTAGATGGTGAGATTTTGAGCACCACATACGGCAAAGTCCGACTGTCGACAATATTCACCGTTTTTATTCAGGATAAAATGCGCTCATAAGATAGAAGCACGAACCAACTATAAACAAGGCTCTTTGGTGATGTGATTCCAACAAGCCTCAGTTTTTTTTCAGAAGAATTTTCGTGTTCCTTGCGGTCATCTTCAAGATTTGAGGTATTAATGAATCATACTCAGTAATTTATTAATTTAGAAGATCTATGGGACTGGTGAATACACAACTACCTCTTTTCACCGATCGCAGCAGTCATTTTTGTGAAAACCACTCTGATACGTCTCATAGCCTGATTGTGAACGGGCATATTTTGTTCACGATGACCACTAATCAAGTGACCTATGTTTGTTCTCCGCGCTTCATTTAATGGAATTGTCCTGGTCGGAGAGAAATTTACGAGTTAACCTTCTCCACTGACAATAGAATAGCTATTAAGGGTGTTCGGTTTTACCCTGGCCGAGATTAAACCCTCATTACTCGCCATTTACCCACTGCCTATGTAACTAGACGGGAAACAATCAGATGGTAAAAAGCTGATTATTCCACACCCTAAAATGCAATCCGTTGACTGAATGAGGACATCCCGCAGAACTGGTAGGAAGAACGTATGGCTTGCTCTTATGTGCCGCAATGGAATATTGCCGTATGGCCATTATTTAACACGAAAACCGATTTCTGCTAGGCTACGGTGAGCCACAGTGTACAACAGCTAAGTTTGCCTCTTCTGATTACCTCTGGTACATATTTTCATGTGTCTAATTAGCTTCCCAAATGGACTTTCTTCTGGAAGAAGGGTTCCCTTTTTGTCCACATTACCGAAAACAGTGATGCCTACCACAGAGTATGACCCCAACGACAGTCTACTTTACGAATAGTTACAAGCCTGGTGAACTGAACCGCTCGGTAAAACCGCCTGGTCACGTGGCTATCAATCCAGCTAGGTATCCCAAATCTTTGGACGGCATCGTAATTCTAATAAAAACCTCCTCATCTCTCGAAAGTGAAATAAGGTTCATTTGGTCCAGTCGAAGAGCATCACGGGAGATTGTTAAGCTGATGCAAAGCTGTTGACTCTTGTCGGTGTAAGGTTCACTACACCGTCGGGGTAACAGAAGTGGCTGCAATGTTTTTTGCGCCCACGGAGTCTTCCGCTTCTATGACTTGTGAGATTTTTAATTCCAATTTCCCACCCTGGTGTGACGATTTCCGGTTTCATATCCACAGTCTAGGAGTAGGAGATTTCGCTGAAAGTGTTCACAAAGTAACTACAAAGCAGTGACTGAGGTGCACCAGATCACCTCAGCAGATCGTCCGCGAGACTTAAACTTCTTTAGCACGGTCTACGAGCATCGTAACGGAGTCCTGATATAAACACCCGGATTGTAAAATGAAATTGGAGCACCGATAGTTAGTGCGCGTCTGAGCTGGCCGTAAAAAGCACCAATGTAAACAAAGTTGAAGATCGCATATGGTGGACTTCGATGAGTTGTGGGTAACAGAATCGATGGATCACCTACCGGTCCTTTCACCTGCGCCCAGAGGAACTGGAGAGTTTCAACATAACACTCAATACTCCCTGCCAGTGATAGCGCATGTGTATCATAACTGCCGCCCTCCGAATGTAACGTTTCATCGAATGTATCAAATTTTGCATGCCGAAATCTCGTCACTTGTTTTTATTCAGACACGGATTTCGTCCGTCTTGTGAAAAGTATCTGCTCATCATGTGTGGCAGATTTCCGTTGAATTATACAGTGAGATTCCTGTGCAAATGGGTCTTGAAAATTGTCACTCAAACTTTCATAGTGCCTCCCAAACTACGGTGAACTTTCGCCTTACCGTATCACATTTTTGTCTAAGTTATTTTTGTGCAATTTCCTCCATAGCGTTGTTATGTAAATTGTTGAGGTTGTCGTCGAAAAACCAAATACTGTTGTTTTTATTAATTTGGTTCTGATCATCTCTGCCAGATTGAACTACCGCCTGTTTCTAGTTTGTTTAAATGGTATTCAGCCATCCATATATCTCATTCTTGGTGGGCTAAATGAAACAGATCTAATCGAGGACGATTTCAAACTCGAGTATGGATGATTACGGGTGTTGGGAACGCTCCCGACACATAAGCCAGTTGAACACTAAAAGAATAACAGCCAGCGAAATACACTCATTTGCAAACTAATTTGGCCGTGGGCTGTCGACAAATTTTCAGCAACCTTATGAGTAGTGCAATAAGAATAACAGCTACCTAGTAGATCAAAGGTAGGGAGTTCAGATACTCGGAACGGTTACGGGATGTGACTATAGATCAGGCGGTCATTTCACCTTCGTTGTTTCGGCTATGCAGACCAAAGCCCTAGTTTTTCTTGCTGCAAACATCATGTAGTGACTGTCTATCAAATGACCCTTTTACTAAGAGCAGTAACATCACAATAAGTAATTTCTCTACGTTACACATACCAATAAATCTTGGCTCAACTCTAATCGAGACAACACGCGAATTATCACCAGAATGCCTACCATTGCCTGAGTGCCCTTCGATCATCTGACGGGGATGAGCAAATATTCAGTCAGAAAGCAAACAATCCGTGGTCCAGTCAACCAGAAAACTAGAGCTACTGAAAGGTTATTGTTTCTGAAACCATTCGAATGACATCCTTCGGCTTACTGCTAAGCAAAGTTTCAGTGACTGAGTGAGCGGTTAACAAGTTCCGATAGGCCGAGAATTAAGCAAAATCTCTTGCTCGCTGCTGGCTACATAAGAACGTACTAGCCTCAAACAAAACAACAACCGTATCCCCACAGTACTTTCAGTC